CGCGTTGTGCATTAATTTCAAACTGTCTCAGACTTTCTTCCTTTTTTACGATTCTTGATGACAGGTTTGTCCTACCTTACACTTTCATAAAACAATTGTCCTCCTATTTTCGATTAATTCCTCGTGATAACCCTCACTGAAACTACCAATAACCTGAGTCCTAATTAAGTACAACCTAAGGCGACATACCTTCCTTTAATTTTCCTGCCGCGTTAACCCTTGGTAAAGGGTTTCCCTAATTTGACAAATTTTGTGTACGAGTTTCATCGGCCTAAACGGCTAACATCACCCTAAGTTTTCAGCATTTTTATTTAGATGTTTTACCTCTCGTGCTAGACAGCGTTGAACCTGTTTATTAGACTCTTGCCCGTACCTGTTACGATACAAAATTTTTAGCGAATAGGCCTTTTTTTCCGGACCAAACCTTGTTAAATGCCGTCTTCTTTGTAAAGATAATTTCCTTTCTTAGATATGTAAAGACAGAAAACATGGGATGTTATCGAATGATTGAACTTAACAATAGGTTAATTAATTAGTTAATAAAAATATATAAAATAACATTTACACTCCGTCCCGAAAACACTGTTAGTCATAACGCACATGTCAAACATACATTTGTTTTTTCTTACTTTTAAGATTTATAACAATAACGACGGAGTTTAGTAGACTCCGTAAGGAAAAAATTTGATTATCGTGTTACTGAGATATCGGTCATCACTGGAGTTCAAATCTCAATCACCCGAACACTCGTCTCCCCAGGACCAGACTAGGGTACTGGACGGCCTAAGTTGACCTACGCCCCACCCCTTGTGGTAAAAGTAGGTGTAGTGTAATGCTACTACAATGAACAATCTGCGCAAAATAGGTTTCCGTTGAATGTATGAGTCTTATGGACACCCTGTTTAGAGGGGTCCCTGGTTAAACCCCCCACTACACACAACGGGGGTTCCCTGTGTGTGTGTTACGACTGACGTCAACCCAAACTTTTTGGACCACTGGGACTAGGCTTGTGGATGCCTGTTGAGGTGATGCGGTGTACGAGTGGTGTTTTGTCTTCTCGACAAGTACCAGTCGCCTATTGTTTCCCAACATTTGTACACCACACGCACGCTACTCCCGCAAAGACTTCTTGTTGCTTAATGAGTTATTCAGAGTTTAGATAACAACGATAGCCGTAAATAAACTAGATAATGTTACTCGGAGTGTCGGAGTCTGTCTGCAGTTGTAGGACAAAGTAATTTTTGTGTGTACAATATCCGTAACGGGGACATTCACATGTACAGACACTGTGGTCTAGGACTACCTAAGGATGCGGTGGGCAACGAGACACCGACAACGAGAATAGCCGACCACTAGACTGACTCGACTACTCAAGCGTGGGACAGTCAGTAAATCTCGTCGGTTCAGGTGAATCGCATAACTCGATTGGTCAAGTTCAATTAAAAGAGGGATCGTACACAACTAAACAACCGCCTAAACAGATGTATCTACAAACAAAAAAATGAGTAACTCGACTGACAAGTGTCAAAACACCGAGAATCGAGACCACCCACGTAATAATATTCGTCGATACACACACTCGTTTTTGTTGTTATTTTCAATGATTAATATTGAACATTTTTTTGAGTAAACCGTCACATAAGTACGACTTTTGATTGTTTACCAGTAAAAGTGGTAATGGTTCTAGAAAATAGACCGTTCACAGAAAATACACCATACTAAAATGTAATATTGTGCATAAGTTGAGTGTTTGCGATGTCCCTGAAATAACAATGTCAACCACCGGTAAACAAGAGGTCTCAAAAGAATTTTAATTACTAAGGTACGAGTACACCAATTCTTTTTGCAAAACCGTGTACTAGTCATGTAAAACTCTGGCAGACGGTTGGAAATTAGTTAAATAAGTTTTTAGACATATAAGCAGGTAGTAATTTTGTAAAACCGTTACTTTTAAACTTTTTACAACAGTACCAGGTTTACCGGTCCGTTTTTATGTTGTGTATATAGACACCATATATATATATGTTATATGACCCAATTATATATATAATATATAATATATATAATATATATAATAATATAATATACTCCTTTGTGTGTGTGTGTGTGTGTGGGGGGGGGGGCGCAACTTCCAACAGGAGTCATTTGGGGGGGCTCTTGGGAAAAAAGGTTGGGAACCCCTGCTGTAGACGTAAAGTCAGGGGAGTCATTGTGAAACAGTAAATAACTTTAACCCTTAAAGGTGGGGTAAGTAATTTTGGAGAAACCAGCTCGAGTGCGCTAGAATTTGAAAATAAACAGCCGGAAATAATCTGCCACTTCCTTACAGAGCCCCTCCTCCAACACACACGAACACGCATGACCAATGAGGGCACGAGATAAGTTTGTGCACAGATGGAAGGCTGACAGGCAGGTACGCCATCCCGTTATTTTAGCCCGGCCGGCTAAAATGATTGGTCGAGCATTTCACAGTACTACGGCTTCCACAGATGAAATGTTTTTATGGGTTTTTTGTCAAAGCACTTCAGATATTCATTGCTACCGGGATGTTAAGAGCATTCCATGGAATATAACAAAAAGTGTATCTCGAGCCGGTTTCTCAAACTTACCTACCCCACCTTTAAGTGGTAGAAAGAGTACGGAGACCTAAACTACTTTCTCAAGAGCTATGCAAGTTGCTAAAATACTCCTGACATCTAATTAGTAAGCTACTGTGAAGTGAACATGACAAAACATAATAAATGGAAATTATTTTCATCAACATTTAAAAAATGGCGTCTATTTGCAGCTTGAGAGTCACTGGAATGCTCAGATATGTTATTGAAAAATAAATCCACATTCCTGCCGTAGGGGACATCCAGATTGTTTTATAACATTTTCACTAGTGTGTTCCACATGACTCCACTTTGCTAATAGTTTACTTCATGTCTGAAATAAAGCCCTAAACAAAGACAGTCATTGAAGACAGAGTGCAAAACCTCGCAGAGAGCAACGTCTCTCATTCAAATACCAGGACTTGTCCAACAGAGAGAACATATATCTGACCCACCAGGCCAAAGAGGTAAGACATATATGGTGAAGTATATAACATTTAAAAAAACTCAGTTGCTCATCAGGTTTCTAACTTTTTGTGAGGTTAAACGTTCTATATTAGCCCAAATTGATATTGTTGTGTTTGAAGGAACATTTTTCTCATCTAACATTTCATGATATTTTTTTATATAGTTTACCTGTAAAACCCTGTCACAAATGTTTGCATTCAGTTTAACCATTTGCAATAGCGTCTACCAAAAGTTTATTTACATTTATGTTAGATTTGATTTGTTCTTTATATTTCCCCCCGATATATTTAACTTGCACAATGGGGTAGATTCTCTTGCATTTACTTACTTTAAAGAAAACATTTCAATACAGATTTACAGATTTGCGTTTCTAAAAACACATGATAAAAAAAAAAGTGAAATCTATTTATTGGTTTTTAAATGTTGGATTTCTGATATATTTTGCCTTACGTATGCTGGAGGTTTCATGTTGATCTGTGTGATTTGGATGAACTCTCACAGGTAACAAAGCTCCACCATGAAGTTTTCTCTCGCTCTGGGTTTTGCCTTCATCCTCCCACTCATCAGGGCTCAGGTGCCCCATTGGGGACCTTGTCCAGATCCGGCTGTTCAGACGGCCTTCAACCTCAAACAGGTAAAAAATGCTTTGTACAAAACATTTAAAATTATTTGGAAGACAGATGCCCCGTGGTCCATGGTCAATTGGGAGTGTCATGAACAGCTGTGCTCTGCTATTTGAAAAGGAGAACAACTATTTTTCAACATTAAACCAATGCTATGTGATTTTCTAAATGAAATGTATCGTGTTACATCTTATTTAATTTATTTTTGGAAAGTAGCCATTATAATTTATACTTTAGCATGGATGGCTAGGTACTTATCATCATCTTAACATAATTGTAATGATTATCGAAGTATTTGGTAAAGCATGTAGCTATTCTAAGCAGTACTTTAACATATATTGTTTCTGTGATGCAGTGGAGGAGAAGTGAGAAATGTAGCTTAAAAAGAAAATACAAAGTCAAAAGTACATTGAGTACTTCGATTCCACCAGTGGATATTTTTTTACATTTGACTCAATCCACTAAAGCATGCAGATTTATTCATACTCTCCAGTCACAGCGCTCTGATTGTCTTTGAACTTGTGTGTGTCTTTGCCCTCACAGTTCATGGGGAGATGGTTTGAAATTGCCAAACTGCCGGCCCAGTTTGAGAAGGGTCGGTGCATCGAAACCAATTTCACTTTGAAAACAGACAACTCCATTCGAGTGGTCAGCTCTGAAATACTGTGAGTCCTATCTGCAATTTTCTTTGTGCAAATGTGGAGAGTCAAGAGGTAATATTTGCACGGTGTGTGTATTTCCATAATCTAACTTGAAACTTGAATGTGGAATAATACAGAAAAGCAGAGCTGAGGAAAATTGAAGGGACTGGAGTCGTAGAGGATATCAAGAATCCGGCTAAACTGGGAATAAGTTATTCCTACGGTGAGAGAGACATTTTTGAGGATAAATTGTACTTTATTGCAATTTAGGGGCAAACCTGAATCTTGTGCAATAACCACATTAACCTTAAAGAGGAGCAAAAACATATCGGATTTATTTTAATTACTGTTAATAAAACTGTGTTTGCTTAAGATGTTTTACGTTTGTCGTGTGTTTCCAGTTTTAACTGAACTGATAGTGAAAAGCACTACTAATAATAATGTATTTTGTGAAGTGATAATAAAGGCTTTCTATTGTATTCCTATTCAATTCTATATGGTGTGTTTTTAGGGAGTTTTTAGAGTACTTTCTAACATGTAAATGCATCCCACTTTTTACTTTTGTTTCAGATCAGAGACATTGAAAGTGATCTGATTTTGTTTTGTGCTCCTTCCCACCACAGTCCTGCCCTACTCCCCTTACTGGATCCTGTCCACTGACTATGTGAACGTCGTCCTGGTGTACTCCTGCACCGACATCCTGAGGATCTTCCACGTCGACTTCGCCTGGATCCTGGGCCGAACACGAAGCATGCCAGAGGCCACCGTCCAGATAGCCATGGATACCTTCGCCAAGAACAACATCGACGTGAGCAGGATGATTCCCAGCAAGCAGCAGGGATGTGACAAAACCCTCTGAGCAGCGATGGAAATTAATCACAAGATGGCGCTGTGGTTGACAAGAGAGAAGCAAAATTATCATCTCCTCCAGAAAAATACTTGACTCATATTTGGATAATTATGGTGAGGGATGTAGTATAGGGTAGAATAAACTCAGTGACGATAATAAAACCATTTACTGCATGCTTATGGTAAGTATTTTTGTTATGAGGGGTTTGTAAGTACAAAAGCATTGTGTTTTGCAACACCTTTTTTTTAAAACTCAAGATCCCTGGTTGTAGTATTTCAACCAGGGAGAGTCAAGCTGAGAGTAACATTCAAGCTTTTACTAATGATAATGTCTGCTGTTTATTTTCATGAAAATAGAAAAATCAGAATTTAAATCAAATGATGAGTAAATCTGATGTTCATACCACAAACTCGGAGCATGAAGTATCCAATTAAAGTCAATACAACTCAGTGAAATGGATTCCATGAGATCTTTCTTGATTCTTTGCATCATGCTTTTCATGAAAACATACTGCATACATCAGAGTATAGTTTGAGTATTTCTGAAGACCCTGGGACATCATCCTTATAAATGGAACATAGGAACACTAACTTTTAAACTTATATCATGGGAAGAATCATTTTATAAAAGCTTGTTTTAAGGTTATTCCTCTCGTATTCCTTTCTGTGCCTCAAGCTAATGTAAAAGCATGAGACCCACCCACAGCCAACTCACACACATACAAATAAATCGTGTTTTACTTCTCTAAAAAGGTTAAACTCCAGTCTACTATTTAATGTATTATATTTAAACCTTAATATCATAGTAATTCTTAATAATATTTGAGTTGATCTTACATAATTTAATCTCTCGATGTTTTCCCTTTCAGATTTCTAATTAATGGTCATGTTTGGTATGTCACAAATAAGATAAGTGCTAAGTTCTATGTGGTTCTGACCTGCTTGATACATTGTTGTAATGCAATGAATAAAACACAATTTGTTAAATAAAATAAACACATTGACAACACTGTTTCATCCATTAAAAGCTTATCTAAAAATGTGCGGCGGAACCTTTGTGTATTCACTCGATTTTCACGTCGGACTTATTTTCATCCTGCACTGCACTAGCTTGGCTGTGAACCTTTTTAGCTGATCATTTGATCCATATTACCTTGTGGTTTTCTTCATCGATGCCACTGAAGGATCAATCTAACTCGACCGTCGTCATGAAGCCAGCAGTGGATGAGATGTTTCCTGAGGGCGCGGGGCCGTACGTTGATCTGGACGAGGTTTGTTAGCTTATTAGCTAGCTAACTCATTAGCTTAGTCAAATTGTATAATAAACATTTAGCGTTAGTTGGCTATAACAAATTCTTTATTCCTCTGTTATTTCCGCTTTTAATGCCTAATGTCACCATAGTTAAGCGGTCATGTAACATTAAGTGCTAAAAATGAATGAATATTAACAAAAATCAATAGAGTAATTTCACTCACTCATTTCGCTATTGTCAATAACAACGCTAGTTTGTTGCCTTGGTAACGTTGATCTCTACGTGTGTAGTGTCCTGTCTGTATCGCGTTAGCAAAATGTTAGCAAACAGAGAGCGGGAAGAAGTACTCGTATCTTTAGTAAGTAAGAACTACTACAGTATAGGAATGCTCTGTTACAAGCAAAAGTCCTGCATCCTGCAATAAGACAACTATTCAGTTGACTAACATTATTTTTGACACATTATACTTAAGTATAAGTTTTATGTAAGTTCTATATCTTAAGCCTACACACTGTATACTGTAGCAGCCATTATAAATATGTGTACTCAAGGCTTGTATCTACATATAGCTGTGTTTGTAAATATTCACAGGGCTGCAACTAACATGTTATTCATCGATTCATCTGTTGATAATTTCCTAGATTAATCCATTAAACCTTTTTAAGATATACCATATTCTGATTCAGATCTATTTTCTGCTATGTTGTTCTGTTTTTGTCTGTATTTTTATTTCGGTCTTAGTGTACATTTATTTTGTCTAACTACATTGAGAGTGACTTTGAACTGGAGTTACATTCCTTGCTCAATCATGCATTTTGTAGCAATAGGATGTATTTCTAGATGTCTTTCTCTGGTTGAATGTGTGTCTGACTGCATGTTTGTTCTCTTGCAGGCTGGGGGAAGCACAGGACTGCTGATGGACTTGGCTGCAAATGAAAAGGCAGTTCACCCAGACTTCTTCAATGGTGAACAATCTTCTTTATAGCATTCTTTACAAACCCAACACACTTTCAAATTGTTGCTGCTCACTGAGCTAATCTACGGTACGTGCATGTATTGTATCTACCACACTATCTGCTCTTTTACAGTTATCTTTTTAAAAGATTATACAACCCTTTTTAGTATGAGTAGGGCTTGACAATTAAAATCTCATGGTTGATTTTGATTACACAAAATACAGACAAATGTGGACAAATCTGAAACATAGCTTATTAGAGATCCAGTCAACATCCATCAAGATGAATATATGACATGTTTTTATGATAAATAAAATAAAACAATTCTGCCACATCACTATTGCTAAATAATGGTGGTACAGAGGGCAACATTTGTGGAAGTCCCCCCAGATACATTCTCCACTGAAATACTGCAGACTGGACGCGTGTCCAGCGTTTCAACAACGCTTCATGTGCCTGGAGGTGAGGAAGTTTATAACTCCAGTTATTGCCTTCATCTGGGAGGAGTTAGGGACATGTAGTGCGGTTGGTGGTACCACTGGTTATTTTATAGCACTATTGAGTGTTCTGAATACTGGAACTACTCTGTTGAGTCGTCCTTTTTCCGCAACTTTAGTACTTCCATACTTTGGACTTCACACTGCTCTGCAGATTGTGTACCAAAGAGACATTTCTGTTTGGGTCGTAAAGGAGATTTACGTCTTGAGAAGGTGTGTGTTTGGACTAAGCAGGAGAGGGGTGTGTTGTAAATACGGAAAACCCAATATAACAAAAATATTCTTAATATTAATAAATTCTGTTGGATTTCAAAGGGCTTTGTAGATTTTTGATGACATTTTACAGAATTTTAATCTTGTTTAGATTTTAATCAAAAATAAAATTGCTGTATCTCTGAATTTGTGCTGGTTTTCTGAACAGTTTCTTTATCAACAGACAAGGTACGTTTCAAGCAAGTGGTCACCTTGAGATATTGCACAAAGTGGAAATGGTATAATGAGACACATCTGTATAATCTACCCTGCCTACTCTCAAAGCCCTGCTTGTCGATGGAAACCTAGCTAGAGCCTAACAACCTTTTGTCTGCAATGAACCTCTCACAGAGTTTTACAAATCGATGTATCAACTCAAATACATTCTGCTTAGGTTATCTGAAGTAAACTGAGGAGGAGTCAGTCATATACAGATAGGAAGTAGTCACTCAAGGCAGATTGAATCTATTAGCACATGATGTTATTTCATCTTTGGGCGTCAGTGAGCTGCTGGTTCCACAGCAGGACGTCTCTTTACTGGCCCCAAAACATTCCTCGTAGCCCCCGCCCCCCTTTTACAAACTGTGTTTTATAATGTAGTGTGATCTGTTGTCCCGAGGCGCAGCTACTTCAAACGGCCACGAATTCTCGCCATATGCACGACACAGATTCCACGCAGGCTTCTCAGCAGGAGCTCTGTGGATGTGCTTTGTATGAGGCTCATTTAGGGTGGCAGGCTTTATTCCCTGGTGATAGAGATGTGTACCACTTAACGTCTGCAGGCGCATTGAAGCAGCTCACAATCCCCTGGCCTTCATTTATACAGGGATTATACAATTCTCCACGTTAATTCATTTAAACAATGAGTGACTAAAGCGACAGTTTGAGGTAATTTGTGTGTTTTCAGGAGGAAATATTCAGGCTGCAGCAGTCTAGAAAAAACACGCTGTAGTGTGTAGTCCTCTTGTTTCTAAAGGATTTTTTAAATACATATTTTACTTCCTAGGCTAACAGGACACTGCAGTACAATCAAAAACTTAAATTCATCTTTTTCAAAATGTTTGCGTAGTACCGGGTGCTAGGCATGTTTAGAACACAGCATGTCAACTACTTTCAAATTAATTTATACTTGAACGAACTACCAATTTCATGGTTTATAGTATAGTTTATTATGATGTATTACTTCAACGGTGCTTCTTTTCATTAGACCTATTTATTTAATCAGTAAATAAGGGTTGACATTGTACCGAAAAATGCTACAATGCACACTTTGATATTTTACACAACAAGGTGCTTCCAACTTTGTTGCAACGGTTTGGCAAAGGCTTCTTCCTGTTTCAACTCGACAGTGAACCGGTGCACATTTGGGCATCCACATATTCTCTGACATAAAGCGTACATGACATCGAGAAGAAAACTATTGTCCCAGGAGTGACAACATGACAGAAGTATTTTCTCACCTGTCACTTCAGTGTAGGTAATGTGTTTTTTCTTTTTTTGTGAAGTCTTTAATTTGAGCTAAAATGTGTTTCTGTCTGATTTCTATGTTCTGAGTGTTTGATGACACCTTTGAAAACAGCAGTCTGTGCACGAGGAGGACCTGTGGAAAACAAAGTCAGCGTCTTGAGTGTAGTCTGCACATAATGTTCTGTACGCGGGCTGACTGTGGACTGTACTTATTTATACACAACAATAAAACATAATTTAGAATTTACATAAAAGCACCGGCCGATCATTAAACGTTTCTTTTTCTCTTTATTGAACCTAACATTTCATGAGACCTTATTTAAAGCCAATTCCTTTCTTTTCCCACATCTGTTTTTCCGTTCTGAAGAGATCAGTTGATCAATCTATTAGTATGTTGGCAGTAACAATTAATCAGCATTTGTCCTGATAATCATATTTGTGTTTTTCAAGAAAAAAGACTAATTTATAATGAAATAATTATCGGGGTGGAGTTTTAGCATTTAAAAAAAACAAAAAAAAACATGACTGCCTTTTAAGACTTATTTCATGTTGAGGAAAAGCATAAAATCCTCATGTGTGTGTGAACCTGTAACCAGCTGCCAATGTTTGGCACTTTTACTCAAATATGGAGAACATGGATTATCAGAATATTTGCTGATACATTTTCTGTTGATCCATGATTCATTGCACGTCTAGAAGAGAATATGATGATTGCCATATCTAAAAATGTGATTCAAACAACGACAGTAATGGTTGAAGTAGTAGTGAACTTCACTAAGCTGGATCGTGGTGAGTGTTTCCTGCAGGAACAGAGGATGTGGCACATATTCCTGTGCATGTTCATACATTTCTGCTGCTGACCTCTGACCTCACAAACAGTCAGACCCGCAGGAAGGACTCTCAGCAAGAGCATTCCCAGATCCTTTTACTTTTATCACCCTGCAACCCTTCAACCCTCTCTACCTACAACGCTGCTTTATGAGAAAATGGCTGGCTTGCAGAAACATTTGAAATACGGTGTCATGTCACTTTAGTTTAATGATTGTTTTTCTTTTCTCCACAGATTTTGAGGATCTGTTTGATGATGATGACATCCAGTGAGAGAGAGAAGCACGTCTTTGGAGTAATGATGGATTATATTCACATCGCTCCACACCTTTTCTTCTGGTGGAAAGCAAACCAACCATTTACTGTCTAATGGCATACAATTTCCTTTCATAGTTCTCCTAGTTCTAGGCTTTAAAAGAAAAACATCCTTAAAAAGTTGTCCCTGGCTCCAGATGTTGTGAAATTCTTAAGATCCCAAGGATTCCTTCAGATATGGTATGTTTAAAATTATGAGCTTGTATCGTGCTCATGTCTTCCACTGCTTCTTAACTGGATTGAAGGTTTCAGTGTGCCGGAGAACACCTGTTAGGAGCCTAATTACACATGTGATGGGCACCGGCTCCGTGTGCTGTCGCCTGTAAGCATGCTGCAGATGGCATACGATGAATGACGGTATGCTAAAAATAGCTTAAATTATTTGTATGATAGTGTGTGTGATAGTCGGATGTGTGCTGTGCGTTTTGATTTCATATCTGC